TTGTTATTGCTGTTATTTCCTTTCCTTCTCTAGTTCCTTGAAGCAAGGGGCTGTCGTGGTTTAACCCCAGACGGCAACTAAGCACCACGCAGCCGCTCACTCACTTCCCCCCGCATCCAGTGGGATGGGGGAGAAAATCAGGAAAAGAAGTAAAACTCCTGGGTTGAGATAAGAATGGTTTAATAGAACAGAAAAGAAGAAACTAATAATGATAATGATAACACTAATAAAATGACAACAGTAGTAATAAAAGGATTGGAATGTACAAATGATGCGCAGGGCAATTGCTCACCACCCGCCAGTCCCCGAGCGGCCAATCCCTGCCCCCCACTTCCCAGTTCCTAAACTAGATGGGACGTCCCATGGTATGGAATACACTGTTGGCCAGTTTGGGTCAGCTGCCCTGGCTGGGCATGAGAAGCTGAAAAATCCTTGACTCTAGTCTAAACACTACTGAGCAACAACTGAAAACATCACTGTTATCAACATTCTTCACATACTGAACTCAAAACACAGCACTGTACCAGCTACTAGGAAGACAGTTAACTCTATCCCAGCTGAAACCAGGACAGGGGCTATGGAAAAAGTATAATGAAATGCAGAAAACAGACATAAGTGAAAGTAAAAAGAAATCTTAATTTCAGATGAACAGGAATAAATATCCTGCTCAAGTTTACAAACAATATTTTATGGAAGCTTTCTACTATGAGGATCTTTTCCCATGCTTACTGACTACTTATTTCTGACAAACCATACTGCATCTGTCATCCCACATAACATTTTGATTTGGTGAAGCAGAAAATCGTGTCAGTGTAAGAGAGCAACAGAAAATGGAAACTTTAGTAATTTGTAAGAGCCATTTCTTTAAATAATAGAAATGGACAGTTCCAGTAAGCAATAAACAATGTATGAAAACCAAATTGTGCCAGCATTGCAACGTGCAATTCTGAAGAAAAACCTGGAGTCTTTTTATCATTTTAGAAAGATAATGCACTTCAATGAAGTAGGAACTGTATCCCTTTCAGTTATTAAAATACCCTGAAAGAAAAAAACACCTTAGTTAAACATCATCCTAAGAATTATAGTTCACAATCAATAAAATAAACAAGCACAATTTGAAAAGACTTCATTTCAAATGGTAGCAGATACAAAAGTAAAATAAATACACACACATATACGCCTACAGTTTAGATCGTATTGGATACGTGAAGAAAGATCTGCAGTACCTTAACAGGATTTGTTCTTCTAAAGATGACAGAAAAGGGTAGCATATAAGTTAAGAATATATTGTCATGTAAATTTTCCAGTTAGTAATCTGCGATGCCACAGCTTGCATTCAGTTACAGGAGAATCTCAATGATTACTTATCAATTTAACTTCAGTAAATAAAAAGAAAATACTCTTTTCTCCCTGTGCCTCCTCTTGCTACCCTATTCCTCCAGATCTTTTCTCTGATGGCATTCAAATACCGCAAAATCTATTGCTATTTCTCCTACTCAGTTTGATCCCAGCTTCGGAAGCTATCAGAAAGCAATGGAATCCAGTAGTACTATAATTATTTTCATCACCTGTTTTTAAAGAAAAAGAGTATTTAACAAAACTCTTTCCCCTAAGGAAAAGTAGTAACAGCAACAGAGGACCTGAAATTTAAGCAAAGTAGCATCTTTCAGTCACTGGGAATTCACGCATTTCTCTGCTGACTTACTGAGCCTCCTAGTGAGGCACTCATACCATACAGCCATTCATAGCATGCTTCTCGTCTGCACAGATGTTACATGTGGGTATCAATGTCATCATCACGCTTTGACACCACTGCTGCAGCAGCTCACAGGAACTATGGGGTTTAAAGTGTTTCCATCTGCAAAGTAATTAACATCTGAGGGACAGAATCTGGACAGCTTCAGACCTCACTGCGATGAAGTCTGGTAGACTGTCAATCTGGTTTCAAGTTAAAAAATATTTTTCTTCATTTTCATTTGATACACATAAATGGGCTTTAATGTTTGTTGATGATTAACAAAAAAAGTCTGATATCAGTATGGGATTGAAATAGTAGTGTTTTATATGGGAACTGATGAAGAACACAACATGATCTTCCCCACCCCAAAGAAAACATGATTAAAAGACCATTAGTTTTTATAAGTCTACTCAGATATTAAAATAGAGTTCCATCCAAGTTCTGTTTAGTTCCCTCCCCTTACTTTTCCCAGACACTGGGGAAAAAGATAGATAGTCTTGTTCTTCATAGTTCCATTTTATGTTCTCAGCTTTCAAAGGCTGATACACTTGCTTAACTCTCCTTTTTGCAGGCCATTCCACAAAGTTCATCAATTCCCAATACACTGCAAACAAGTAACTCTGACATTACAGGGATCGTGACCTTTCCTATTTCACTTTTAGAAAGGATTCATTTTAATTTCAATAAGTATGTATGGAAACAATGTTAACAGAGAAGTATGTTCAAGAGCTTAAAAAAAAGTAATTTTTAATTTTTATTAAAAATATTATTTATCATATCTATTTTTTTAACAAGTATACCCTGCTTGCAGGTCTACTGCTGCAAGATTACGTAATCTTCACATGTTTACTAGTAAAAAATTCAGTGTGAAAACATGTTAACAGCTGCATTTAGATTATATAATGATAACTTTATATGGTGCATGGTCAGTCTTTCAAACTACTAGTCATCCACAGAGATGTTATTAAGCCACTGAATACAGTACCAAAAGGTTTTCCATTATGAAAAAGTTCATTAGCACTATATAAAATGTCTTCCCTTAAAAACTATCTACCACCACTTTCCCCTGCCAAACAAAATATACAGCTCTAAAAACCAAATCCCCTTCTTGTAGAATAAAAATTATAAATTAGTATTTTAAGAGCACAGAAAATCTTGCTAAAATGTATGTTAAGTTCTGGCAATATATCAGAAATGTATGTACATAAACCACCTATTTTACAATAATTTTTTTTTTGCAGCCATTTCCCATGGAATTGATTATTCTGCAAGTAAAGTATACTTGCTGAACAAACAGGACACACATATTGGACTAAGACCAGGATAAACTATTAGACCTCAGTATGAATTAATTTGGGATCCAAACAAATTACACTTAGCAACAAGTCATCACTACACTGCACAACATACCAGCAACCATAAAACTTTGTGCATACCAGAGTACTGGACCATCACTATGGATGTTTAAGTGTCAGAGCCTGTTCAATTGTCGTCTTCTACTCCACCTACTACCTGAATTATTTTCATGCTCAAAGGATTTTGGGAAGCAACAGGCAAAACACAGTTATGACTGCAACACTACACACTTCAGAAAAAAAGAAAAAAAAAATTAAAAAATGTCAGAGGTAGGCTGTAATAAGCTACCTAGCTTGAAAGCTTCCCTAACTTCCTTTTTTCCCTCTCTTGAGTCACTGTTATCACTAGAGACACAGAAACAGTTTGCTCTGAAACACGAGAACTTTGTTTCTACCCTGCAGTAGCCTTAGACGAACTATACAGAGATGTCTGAATCAGCTATCAGGCTTCAGCATGAACACACAAGCCTGTAGCTCTGATTCAGAGCATAAAATGAAGAGGCTAAAATAAATTGTACAGTTTCTTACAGAACTCTCACTTTAAATACCAAGTTTTCAATGGCTGAGATGCAAAGTCATGTTCTTCAACAGTCCAAAAATAATTTTCAAGGGAACGTTAAAACTAGGAGCAAATAAATTTTGTTGCAGCTCAATGTACACAAAACTACACGACTCCAATACAAGCCATGAGGAGAAAAAATAGAAACTGTTTCTTCAAAATAGCAGCTGAAATATTGTCTGATACAAGTAAGTTCATAGCGGTAATGTGACTTCTAAAAGAACATGCAGCTGAAAAACTCCACTAAATTTTGTTAGGTGTTACAAATTTAGTACAAATATTCTACTTTAGAGGAAGAACAAAAATCATTATCAACTATCAGAATACTCTGGCGCTACTAGATTTGGCAAGTATACAACGACACACCATCATCACTGTTCTGCAGACAACCCTTCTGTCAACGTGATATGCAAGCCCTCTCAATAAAATGAAATGCATATGTTCAGATTTTTAAATGAAAACCAAACCATATTTAACTCTGTTCATTAACGGAGCATTTAATAGCAAGAGCGATGTATCTGTTTATTGCCTAGCAAGGTAAGATGCGACATATAATGTACCTGCACGTCACAAGGCTCGGTGCAAGGCTAAGTTTTTGAGAATAATTATCACAACCCCCCCCCCCCCAGTTCTGATCATTTTCTCTACCTCGCTGGGCGGTTATCAGCAGGGCAGGGAAGAAAAGCCCCGAAGCACTTGCTAAGCGGGAGCAAGGGACTGCCCGGGGCTTAGCGCTGAACTACGGGACAGCCGCGGCAGGGCCCCAGCCCGCCGCCCCCGCGCAGCCCTGGCGGGAGCCACCGCCGCCCCCGGCCC